CAGTGAAGCCATTACATAATACAACAGAAAGTCATGGTTGGAAGGGAGCTCTCAGTTGGGAGCAGGCTTGTAGCTACAGCTCATGTTTGCAAATCTAAATTTATTGCTGTGTCTCAGTGAATAAATTGACGTATAGTAAATGCATGTAGTCTACAAAGCTATTCTATATGTTTTCATAAACAGTACCCGTTTTGTTTTTCCAGAGTTAAAACAACGAAAACTTAGGGAACCCTCAAAACTCAAGACAGAAGCCAGTTGTGTGCTTTGAATCTGTGATCAAAGTTCTGATTCAATTCTATAAAGACAAACAACTTGTCGTGTTTGTGTACGTTTTTGACTTTGCTAATTGTGTTTGTTTATTTAAACTGTATGAACACTGTTCACTGTGGCATATTTTTTCATTGTCTCTGTGCCCCTGACTATGTTCCCAGTCATCCCTTATTTCACTTTTAAGTAGAGCTAAATTTAAACCAAGAATTTGCTTGGGGGGACTCTCTCAGTAGTGGTGGTTGAGAACATGGGGGTCTCTGCCGTAACTAAAAATGCATGTTCAGCCCAAGTTTAGGAAGAAATACAGAGAAGATTGAAGAGTGTTTGGCTTTTTCCCCTGCTGCTGTGCAGCTTATTTGTTCCTTTCAATGTGAGGTGCTCTTTAAAGGGGATGTTTTGCCTTTGCTGAATACCTTCTCAAATACCTCCTTACCTCAATACGTTCACTCACCTAACACAACACACATGGCGAGAGGTCCAGGCCCATTCTGCCTTTCCTCTCGTCTCTGTTGCTTGGAAAATCTTACATTTCTGCAGAAAAAGAAGTGCACACATCCTGTCCTCATTATTCCAGGGGAAGGGAGATGGATCTGGCATGGTCGATCCTATGGAAGCCCAACACATGAGCATGGCTGAGCAGAACAGAGCAGGCAGGCATGCTGCTGTGTTTTATATGACTCTTGTTCTTAGCCTTTGATGACACTGTTTTGAATAGGAAATATCTAATAAGTCAAGTATTCTGTCTAATGTGCTGCCAGTTGGTTTAGTATTTGCCTGGAGGTCTTGAAACACTATCTCCGCCACAGCAATAATATACATTTAACATTCTCTTTGAGTGGGAGGGGGTGATGTAGAAAAAGAAAAGGGGCAACTGAAAATATATGCTGTAATAGTAACCATATGCAGCATAAAGTTATAGATGAGGGTGGGATAGTGTGGGACACACCTTTGGTCTGTGTCTTGTACTTTGCAATTCATCAAAATCACACCTCAGTGATGGCAGCAGTTAATTGAAACTGACATAGCAGTCGTTACCATGATTAAGAAACCATGGGGATACACCTAAAAAAAAAACTTCTGGAACAACGCTGAATTAATGGGTAGAAGATTTTATGCTGCACTGTACCTGATAAAAATGTAACTATAGAACAGCGCCATTCAACTAAACTGCTCAGGGGGCCACAGATACTGAAAGCCAAGAGCTCAGGGACCGGACATCCAGCAGTTATTCTCATTAAGTAAGTTGTTTAACAGTTTACAATCTAGTTTTATTTAAATATGAACCCATTAGTGGGCTGGACGGAGTTCACCCATGGGTTTGGTTTGGCCCATGGGCCGTCAGTTGAATAGCTCTGCTATAGAAAGATTTTTTGTTTGTTTGCTTTTAGTCATATCAACCATCCCTACATGTTTACGTAGATTTGCTCTCTTTTGTTTTGTAGTTTCAGCCACACAATATGAGTGAACAATCAGATACATTTGTACAATAAGGTTATATGTTGTTTCTCAGCATACACAGTATATTTGTGCATTTGGAAGTTTTTTTTTGTGTTTTTTTTTTTTAATCATGTTGTTTTTTAATATCCGTTTTATTCATGTTTGGTAATATATTATTTGTTTGGCAGCTTTTCATTTTTTGTTCAGTCCTGTTTCATTTAAGCAACTGGTGGCTTCTTTATAGCTTTGAAGATGGCATGCTTTGGTAGCAGAATAAAGATGCCTGTTTTCTTTGTCGCTCAAAACCCAAAAACCTCCTCACGTTGATTTATATCATCTGTCACTGAAAGCTTTTTTATTGCCACAACTGGAATCGACATCCGTTAGTTGGAGTCTAGCACAAAATCTAAGCTGCTTTAAACACAATACCACAGTCACTGTTCAAAACAATTTAATTTACTGGGGTGAAGCCCTTTTTTTGAAGACATGTTCAATACTGCAAGAAGTGCAAAATGATTTTTCAACCACAGAAAAAGTCCCGGAGCATTTCTTTTATGTCTCTGTGGCTGTGCCCTGTTCTTGTTCTTTGGTGTATTTGTGTATGAGTATTTGCTTTTTGTCTTTATGAAGGAAAAAAAAAAAAACTAAACAAAACAAGAATCACACAAACTTTTTTTTTTTCATTCTTTGTTTAGTTTTTATCCATGTATCGTCCCATCCATTTCCAATGCCCACTTGTTTGTTTTCAGGGTTACATGGCTCTCCAGTGGACATTAGGTCGCTAGTCCTCAAGGTGTCACAGACAGTCAAGATGCACAACCATTCATTCTCATATTTGCATTCACTCTTGCAAGCAATTTAGTAATGTTAACTTGTAACTAAGCATACATGTTTTAGACTTTCATTCTGTTTGTCCTATGGGTTGTGGGAGGTGGGAGCCTGTCCCTGTTGACAGTGGCTGAGAGATCAATAGTAACATGAACATGTTCCAGATCCATCAAAGAGCAAATACAAAGAAATGCACAACTAGGCATTTTGATATTGACTGTTTAAACTGATTATAATTACCTCTTAAAGCTAAGAAGTGGTATAACATGTCCTAGGGCACTCTACAGAAACAATCAATCCAAAGCAGATTCTAATTCAAACCCAGTAATATACAATGTATTCAAACCAGTTACAATGGAATCAAATCCAATTCATTACAAAATCTCTTAAGTTATTAAAATGTGTCCAAGTAACAGATCCTGTCAAAACTTTGATGCAAAACAATCCTGAGTAAGCAGGGAAGCTAAAGGCAACAGTGGAAAAAAATAACTCCCTTTAAACAAGTAGAAATGTCCAGGAGAACATGAATTTGGATGGGCGGCTTTCTGCTTCCTCAAGATAGTTCAAGAAACAGAAAAACAAGTCAAGTCAACTTTATTTATAGAGCACATTTAAAACGGAACCTGTTATCAAAGTGCTTAACAACAACAATCAATGAGTAAATTAAAGAGAAAAATATATAAACATATATATACAATACACTAATAATAATAACTGAAGAATTAAAAAAAGCATTTAAAACATAGGGTCACAGATTAAAAAACACTAAAACAATTTACACTGTATGAAATGCCTGAGAGAACAGATGTGTTTTTAGCAGGGATTTGAAGTGAGGAATGGAGGTGGCCTGCCTGATGCTGGGGGGCAGGTTGTTCCAGAGTTTGGGGCCCATGACTGAAAAAGCCCGATCTCCTCTGAGCTTCAGTCTTGTTTTTGGAACAGCCAAAAGCAGCTGATCGGATGATCTCAGGGCCCGAGAGGGAACGTAAGGTTCCAGAAGCTCAGAGAGGTAAAGGGGTGCGAGGCCATTTAAGCATTTGAAGGTCAACAGAAGAATTTTAAAAACTGTCCTCGTAAGAACAGGGAGCCAGTGAAGGGAGGACAGAACTGGAGTAATATGTTCAGACCTACGAGTTCCGGTTAAAAGCTGAGCTGCAACATTCTGGACGAGCTGAAGACGTGAGATGGAGGCCTGGCTGATCCCAGCCTACAGTGCGTTGCAATAGTCCAATCGGGTCGTGACAAAGGCGTGGACTTGTTTCTCAAGGTCGGGTCTGGACAACACTGGCTTGAGCTTAGCTACCTGTCTTAGTTGGAAGAAGCTTTTCTGCAGAACAGAGTTGATTTATTTGTCAAACTTGAAGAAAACAGAAAGTAGATAAGCATACAACTGCTGCTGCACAGGTTCTTCAGCAGTCCAAGTTTTATGGGAGAGTGGCAGAAAGAAAACTGTCATTGACTCAAGACTGAAAAGACTCAAGGCAGACATAAATCAGTAAAGTTCTGCCTGTCCCCAAAACAAATGTTGTATGTCTGAATTCCTCTCCCTGGCTGGCCTTGACAGGCCACCTTATCTAAATTTGCCTGAAGGCCCTGTAAATCTCGACGCTCTGCCCTCTCCTCTCTCCCACCGAGGAAGTCTGCGGACCTATCAGAGGGACCTGGCTGAATAAATATTGTCATCTTTTCAGGACCCTTGGATTATCTTTGGTGGTGTCCTAGGTCGACCTCGGCACCCTCAAGTATATTTATGGATCTCACCAGGGAACTGGCTGATTATACCATTATCAGAACTCTTACAGTGTCTCTGGAGTGTCCTTGGACACGCGCACCGCCCGTCTCCCTTCCCCTGTGGAATGTCTGCATCACTATGTGCTTATGTGCAGTGTGTTTTTTTTCAAGTTCAGGCTATCTTTCCTCGGCCAAGGACTTGAGAGTCTGTTAGGAAGTTGTTTTTTTTAACCTCCAAAATCATATACATGTTGTAATTTTCATTACTTTTTTTGTCTATCCAAACAGGTCTCACTTGTAAATGAGTCTTCGAGGCTCATTGTGATTTAGCTGTATAAATAAAGGTTGAATGAATGAATGAATGAATGATAAACTCTTTAACTCTTAATGAGTTTGTTCAGATTCTTTAGACTAGACATTTTCTCATCATTTTTTTAAGCTTTCTCATAGTCAGAGCACCAGATAAAAAACATTTTATAACATATATTATATAATATATTATAATATAATATATTTTTATTATTATTATTTTATTATATAATATACAACTTTGTCTTGCTATGTATAAATTCAAACACATTAGACTCTAGTTTTGTTGTTCTCCTAAGGTCTTTGCCTTCATTTGAACTTTACTTCACAGGTAGTGCTTCCTTTACTGCTATGTCTGGGACTTTGGTGTAGAAAATCTGCATTGTTTTTGATATAGCTTTGCCCTCTTGTGTTTCTGTGTACAGGCACGTCGACAAGAACAGAAGTGTGGCCATCAAGATCCTGCAACAGTCGGTGACTCTTCATCACGATATAGTGGGACAGGACAGGACAGCGGTTTTGGCAGTGACAGTGCTCGCATTCGGATTGTCCAAATAGAGCAACAGAGTGGGGCCAGCCACCACTGCATTGCCAGGCCCTCACGGAAATCCACAATTACCAAGAACCTCAACTTCATCCCTTTTGACATATTTCTCACTGCCAGTAAACTATCTGTTATGACTTATGTCTGCTCTAGTACCCCTAAAGCTTTAACTACATTGACTGATACACCCAGCACACCAGAGAAAAGGGAACTCGGGGATAAGGTAACGCTAAAGCTAGTAAATGGACTGTGTTTATGTGTCACACCTTTATTTTGACCAAGACAATACTAAAGTATCCTTTTGTATCTGGTTTAGGTGGGAAAGAGTGTCCTCAACCATCCTGAAATTGTGTCCGAGTCTCCTCCACCTTCGACCTCGCCAACCTCTGATCAAACCCCAGTTGCCCAGAGTTCGCTTGCTGGCCTGACAGCTGAGGACATCCTGAACAGCAACACCTCTCAGCCAGCTTCTCCGCTACTAAAAAGAAGCTTTTTCTCAATTGATGGCCTCCCCACTCCAACCCGTTCCTCAGCCCGCCAGTCACTGGGTATTACCATAGTGAGGCAACCAGGAAGACGAGGAGCTGGGGACCAGTTGTTGGAACCCCTCTTGTACCTCCAGGTTATACAGCCTTCTATTCTGCTCAGTTGTCACCATCGAAAGCAGAGGATGGAGCTGTCTGTTTTTGACGTGTTCCTGAAAGGAGTATCTTCCAACTATAAGTGCCTGGGTGAGAGGAATGTTTTCTGGGTATTCTGTTAGAACTACTGTGTTGGTCTAGCTTTTAAATTTATACTGTTATAAAGTGTTGAACATGCCTTTTTGATGGGCACAAGAACAGACTAAACGTTTTTATTTGCTTTATTTTGTCCAGATCCTGGAAAGACTCTGCCAGAACCTTTGGACTACAATGTGTTTTGGCTGCAGACAGTAACAGGAGAGGTTGATAGTAAAACGGGTATTCCTCCTCCTCTGCTTTGCTTCCAGATAAAAGATTTCCTCAATGGACCAGGTGCGAATCATACACTTACTCATGCAGCTTTGTACACTTGGAACACAATGCATTTAACGTTTATTCATGTTAAAAGAAAAAAGGAAAATGCTGAAAAAAAACATACTTTTAAAAGTTGCAACACCCAAACTGACAAGTAAAATGCTTAACATTGAATATTTTCATACTATGAACCTTCTCACCACCAACCAAATGACTAAAAAACATCTCAAGATATTGTCAGAACTTCCAAAGCTTCTATCCATCAAATTTTCTCCACTTGTCTGATGCCTTGTGGAGGTAATATTTCTAGAAAGGAAACCCAAACACCCTTCTCCTCAACAACACTCTTCCACTCCTCCTGGTGCTCCCAAGGCATTCCCAGACCAGAGAAGATACATTTTATCTCTCCAGCAAGTTTTGATCTGCCCTGGAGTCTGATCCCAGTGGGACAGGCACCCAAAAAACATTCATAAAGGAGCCATCATGATCAGACGCCTGAACCACCTCAGTTTGCTCCTTTTGATGAGGAGGAGCAGCTGTGTCCCTGCACTGAGCTTTCCCAGATGAAGCTCTGTGTCTAAGCTGCACCAGGCTCCAGTGGATGTTTGCTACAAAAAGTCAGTTATGTGCTTTTCACTTTGAATCACTGACAACTAACTCCTGTGTGCCAAGTGTGCATATGTTTGTGTGTAAAATTTGCCTTTCTCAGAGTTTGGTTTGCTATTTTTAGACTGAGATGATATCCATATGAGCAGATTTAAGTTGAGGTCATTGACCTAAGGGTGTGTTTGACATCCTGCCCAAGCATAACTGTAATGAATAAAAGTGTGAGTGGGCTTTTGAGTCGTAGTGTGCGCAACCTTTTCATCCCTGTGAGGGTTTCGTGGAGAGTGTGTGTAGGAGCAGGTCATCCTTCAGCTTCCTGAACTCAGGCCAGATGTTGCAGATTCATACGCTCCGTCACGTTAACTACAGACACACTTTGACATATAAGCTATCTTTCTTCCACAAGTTTACAATCATGGACACATACTGAGCATGTACACAAGGAGGAGCTCCGGGATGAACTCAGGTGTTATAGATAATTGTTTAGCAGAGAGTATTAAACTTACTTTTTCTGGCTCCATATGCTTTCTCTGCAGCTGTAAGCCAAAAGTCCTCCATGCTTCTGTCCATGTGGACAAACATCTCTCTGTGTAGCCCAACAGTCACAAAATACAGCCTCGCTAACCAAATGTGCGTGTGCTAGATGATGCCAGAAGCCTTTTCATACTTCATAAAGTTTATTTAAATTTTAGTCAGATGATTTTTAAAATGTGTTTTACAATTTATTTATACTTTGCAATTTTAATAATAAAAGTGTAGTAATTCTTAAAGGACTGCGTACTGCGGCCACCTTTCTTGTCAGAATTTTAAGATTATTCTATATATAAAAATGATGGAGTTTGGAGTAATAACTGATCATTCTATTTCGTATAGGCTTCGTCCTTTAAGGCCCTCGCTAGTGGGTTTATCCCGTCATGCAAAGCATCGCACTGAAAAGTTTAGTCCACGCCCACCTGTTGTGTGGGCCCCACCCGGTCCATGTAAATTACGTTAAGAGCGGGTAATCGGCTCCCATTTTTCTTCAGCAAGCTAATAGCACTGTCAGAAGAACGAAGAAGGGAAGTTGTCCAGCTTGATGGGCACAACCTTTAAGGCTGCCTGGGGTCCCGCCACGCCAACCTCCTGCCGTCCCGGTAAGCTCTCCTCCCCGAGGAGAAGCAGACGTGCAGCCTTGTTTTAAGGTAAGCACCGAGGAATATTTTTCAGTGGCGGGTCGCTACACGCTGGACGACACCTTCGACCCTTTTTTCCTTTTAATGCAGATTCTCGGAGCAAATCGGATGGTTCCTCCGGAACAGGCGACATCAGCAGCAGCCCCCGCTGCTCACTCCCTCCTGGAGAGCGTAGTATCGGAACGAGGGGGGCTGGGTGAATGCTCCCCCCCAGGCCTTTTCGCATTGGCGACCACACCGCTCCCAGCTGTCGGTGCCCTCCTCTCAGAGCTGCTCGGCATAATCCAGGAGGCGGCTGACATGAAGGGACTTTTTCCGTCCCTCTCCTTCCCCCGCCCAGATCAGATGATATAGCGGGAAGGTTTTTTTGGCTCCACCCTGGCTCGCCGTCCTGATCCCATCTGGCCTTGTTTTTCCAGCAGGGAGTCCTACTGGAACGAGGCTGCAGCCGGACCTGGTAGACTGAGAGCGCTAGTTTCCACATTTACCGAGCGGAAATTCCCTCGGTGCCTCACTGGAGCCAAGCCTGGCGGAGGCTCCCGGAGCAAAGATGTCCAGGTTTGACCAGCATCCTGCGCCTCTGGGGAGGCATGACCAGACGGTGACGTCGCTCTCCAACCGAGCTCACCAGTATGCGTTCCAGGCAGCCACAGCGAACAATACTGTTGCGTACAGCATCTCAGAGGCCGGAGGGACAGACCTGCCTGAGGAGACGAAGAGCTCCCTCAGCAAGGCGTCTGATGTCACCCTCAACCCTTGTGCCTCGTCTGCTATCTGCCTGTCTCGCATCGCAGCCTGGATGACAATGGTTCAGAGGTCCACCTGGATTGTCACACCCCCTCCCTGTCGGAGAAGCTGCAGATGGACTCGCTGAAAGGCCCCATCACAACGGACGCCCTGTTTGGAGCCAATTTTCAAGGACATGCTCGAGAAATCGAAAAAGCCGGAGGAGATGTCGGAGATTGTGCGCCATCTGATCAAGCCGCACCCCTCCTCTCGCCCCCTAGCCAACCCCCCGCCCGCTGGAGAGAGTGCCGTGGCCGAAACAGCAGAGACGCGCCACAGCTGCAACAGCGTCTTCTCGCTCTGTTCCACCATCAGCCCCTCCCATCAGAGTACAGCCCTCCTCATCCCGACAAGCCACAGGGCTCACGGGGGAGAAGATTTAAAAATGATTCATTGCAGAGGATGTGTGTGTGCATAATGATGGTTTGAGTTTTGGAATAAAATGTAAACATCATTCAGGAATTAAAGTGTCTGATTTCAGCCTGACTGTCAGTTTGTATGATCTCACAGCGGCTTTTTCTCACACATCCTCCACACAAGCGAGCCGGTGTCCTACAAACAGGTTTTAAATCACCACAGCCCGAGAAAACACACAAAATGCGCGCATGAGTGACGCATCAGCCAAAGTGAATGTTTTCAGCAAACCGAGTCCAGTGGGAAACCTCGCTCTCAGCCCAAGCTGCGCACTGCCTCCTCAGCGCATGCCAGCTCACATCAGCACAGATGTGAGCCCGCAGCCTGAGCACGGCACAGAAGTGCCGCATCCCCACGTCATTGGCAGCCCTCACATACACGGTTCTGCATGCCCGGGGGCGCGCACACCTTCCCTTGGCACACGCCAGCCCACATCAGCACGGATGTGAGCCCGCAGCCTGAGCGCGGCAAAATAGTGTAGCGCCCCCACAGCTGCAGCAGACCTCACCCACGGCTCCGCATGCTCAGGGGCATACGAACCTTCCCTCGGCACACGCCAGCTCACATCAGCACGGATGTGAGCCCGTAGCCTGAGTGTGGCACACATGATGGTGGTGATTGGCATCTGTAAATAATGTGACGAAGCATAAACGCGTTCCCGCTTCCCGAACGTTACGCGGAGTGGCAAAGAGCGTGGGTTCCAGACAGATGGATGAACCGTTTTATCAGCAGTGGATTCACGCTGCAATTACAGCTCAAATCCCCGTTTGGAGGAATTTTAGAGATGTTTCTGTCATCTCCAGAACAGATCTCATCCCCCCACGCAGAAGTTCAGGAAATTATGATTAAAAAAATGTAATTTCCAGGGTTCCAGAAGGAGAGGAAAACACAGGGTTCTACTCTCGTCACTTCCTGGTCCCAAAACGGACCAGAGGGATGATACTCATCTTAGATTTATCAATTTTTTACTGTGAGACAACATTTCCATTCAAAATGCATCGAGTCGGCTCTGCAGCCGCCACACAGAGCAGGAAGAAGAATTTTGTTTTTATCTGGACGATCTGTTGCTGCTGACCCATTTTTTCCAGACAGGTGGCAGTAGTGCAACTCACATGAAACCGGCAGAGTGATAACAGCTGTTTCCGTCATGAAGTTAAGGACATGTCGTCTGCTCACACAGTACAATGCCTCCAGATGTGGTCCACTCGTTAGCGTGTGGACCCGGTGAGGCAGAAGAGATGGGCTGTGCCCCCATCCATGAGAATCGGCCTGAGACACTGGGAAACCCTCTTGTTCTGTTGCAGGGAGTTCCCGTCAGCAGACCTATTTCACACATGTCAGTCTTAACAGACTCGTCCCTGTCAGGTTGGAGAGGCACATGCATGTCTCGAGCTGTGGGGGCGCTGTGGCCACCCCACACAGCAGCTCATATACATGTTTTTGGAGTGTCGCACGGTTTTGAATGTGATTCAACACTTTGCCTCTGTGCTGCGGAATCGACATGTGTTGATTCACACAGACAACGAGTGACTGTTGCATACATAAACTGGCAGGGGGGTTTTCGCTCAGCCCAAATGTTAAACATTGTGAGACAGCTGCTGTGTTGGGCACACCAAAATCTCTTCTCTATCAGAGCAGTGTACATCCCCAGTGTTCTGAACAGGGGGGGCCGGATGTGATGTCCAGGGGCGGTCCGCGTCACGGGGACTGGACCCTCCATCCAGAGCTGATGGCTCAGACGTGGCAGAAATTTAGCAAAGCGGCCGTGGACCTGTTTGCAACACGAGAGAACGCTCAGTGTCAACTATGGTTCTCACTGAGCCCGCGAGATGAATCACCGCCAGGGGTGGACACGTTTGCTCACAGCCCATGGCCCAAAATGCTTCTTTACGCATTTCCCCCATTCCCTCTGATATTACGGTTTTCTGAACCAAGTTCAGGAGGAGGGACTGACAGCTCTCCTGGTGGCTCCCGAACGCGTGAATGCCCCATGGTTCCCAGTTCTACGACACTTATTATCGGGACGCCCGTGGAAACTGC